CCCTGCCTGCGATCCCTGCCTGCGATCCCTGCCTGTGATCCCTGCCTGTGGTCCCTGCCTGCAGCCCCTGCCTGCCGCGCTGCCCGCAGCTCCCCCGGTACACGCAGCCCCTGTCTGCAATTCCTGCACCCCTCCCCTGCTGCCATCCCTGCCTGCAGCCCTGCTCACGGCCCCTGCCCGCAGTGCTGCCCGCAGCCGCAGCTCTGGGGAGGGTTGTGCAGCCCTGGCAGCGGATCCCTGCCCGAATGCCAGCGCGGGCGGGCGATGCCAGCGCTGATCAGGACTCTCCGACTTAGGCTGCTCATCACGGGCCTAGGCCGGATGCGGGCGGGCAGGGCCGCACCTGCCTTCGTGCCAGCTGCCTCCCGCTCTGCAGCAGAAGCCGCGAGGTTCTGCCCCAGCGTTCGTGTCTGGGCCCTCCCGCGGCCCTTGCGCTCGGCGGAGGTTGGGAAACCCCCTTCTGGCGGCGGGCGCGGAGCGAGAGGCAATGCCAGGACGGGCGTTTGGTTTCTGCCGAGATGAGCCTCGTGATAAAGAGCGACACTCTTTCTAATTTGGGGTTCTGTGATGTGGGTGGATGCTGGAAGATAAACCAGTCACCAGGGATCATCCTCCCAGCGCTCAGGGAACGGCCGGGAGGGTGAAAATCCTCACTCTGGCGTCTGCAGAGCAAAGGGCCGCGAGGGCCGTCCCCGAGCCCGGCCCGCCAGCTCGGTGCTGATGCGGCTCTGGCCCGCGCCGCCGCTGCGGCATCTCTCTCCCTTCGCATCGTCATCGCGGCAGTGACCCACTTTGGTGGCAGCTTTGCAGGAGGCGGGAGGCAGCGGGGACAGCTGCGGGGGGTTGCCGCAGGCTGCGGGGTGGAAGGGGCAGCCTGAGCCCTGCACTCAGCGCTGGGGGAAATGTAAAACCCACCGGGGGACGCGGAGCCGTCCCGCAGGCACCGCTTCTGTCCGAGCTGCTCAGATAACTGGCCCCGCCAGGGTGACACCCTGCCCCTCCAGCCCACTCCGCAGCGTTCTGCCCGTGCTTTGATCCAGAGGTTTATAGAACCCTCTGCCCCATCCTTCCCATGTGCGGGTCTTAAAACTCCGGAAGAGGTAATATTGTAAAGGAACGTGTCACCTCGATCGGTTCAGCACCGAAACACCAAAGCACCAGGCCACCTCCCCCCATTCTGGCTGCCCTGCATGCCACGCGCATACTTTCAGCTTTGATTATGGCCACGTAAAGGCCTCACCCTCGCAGGAAACCTCTGTCCCAGCCCACGGAGCACTGGAGAGCCCCGCTGGCGTGTGCGTCCCCCCCTGCGACTGCACTGCGGAGCTGCCGCGTTCGCAAGGCATCGGGATCGCTCCGCACTCCTCCTCGCACAGCCACAACCTGCTCGCCTCCTCTCCCTGGCAACTGACAGCCGAGGGAAACGAGTACCAGAGCAAACAGGAGGCTGTAAACAACACAGTCTGGGGCCTGATGCAATTCTTGCCGCTGGAACAAATGCAGAAGGTGAAGTTTCAGCCGGGCCACAGAGCTCGGGCTGACTGACCCGGCCGCGGGCTTCTCCTGCCCCGCACCTGTGAGCGGTGACTTGCTGCAGCACTTCTGGTAACTCCCCGTCCTCCAGCTCCACCCACGGGACTTTTCAGTTTTTGACTTTTCTAGGAAGTGGCCCGTTAGGTCTCTTTGGGTATTTGCGTTCCTTTTTCACCCCCTTCACAGCCTTGTACAGCCAAACCCTGTGGGAGGTGCTGAAGGATGAGAACGGGCCTCGGTCATGGAGCCGAGTCTGCTGGCAACCCTGGAGCACAGGCTTTCTGCCCCCACCCCAAGGACTGCTTCAGAGCGTTCGATGGTGTTTGTTGCCTGTATTCCCTTTCAAAAAACCTAAATAAAGTTATTGCTCTATCAAGCTAATTCAATGAACCCACAGCGGTCTCTTGGGAAAGATTTCGGGACATGAGAGGCAGCATTTAACAAGACTCAACGAAAAGATGAAACGAAAGGGGCAGAGACACCGCAGTGCGCTAAGTTTAAAGAGCCACCGGCAGCGAGGCCGGTCGGGTGAAACCAGCCCTACAACGGGGATTTTCACAAAAAGAAACAAACCCAAAGCACGGATTAATTCCTGGAGATGCTGCTGACACTGCTGCCTTTATCAGGGGAAGAAAGCCAGCACTGTCTGGGGCCGGGCCAGCGCTGCTGCGTGCAGGCGGTGACAGGGCACTGCTCTGTCCACCCTGAGCTGCTTTTTCTCCCAGTGTAGCCATGGAAGCTCAGAATTTCACGCTGTATCCAAGGCAGAGGCAGCCTGGCCTGGCTGCTCCCTGCCTGACAAGAGGAAATAAAACAGCAACCGAGCATTGACCCGTCCCAGAACATTCGGCTCTGTCCTGGCCCACCTCGGACACGGCCGTTTTTGCCGGCTGACAGCCACGCGTGACCACGGACACGTCCAACAAGCTGCAAAGGTCAGTGCGGGAGCAATGTGGGACCTGCCAGGTGCCCTCGGGACATCGGCCACCGTCAGCCCGCAGAGGGCACAGACAAGGCCCTCCCAGCCTCGGGCACACCGACCCCCCCCCCAGACCCTTCCAAAACTCGGCCACCGGCCCCAGAGCCGCGGCAGAGGCTCCCGGAGCACCCGCACCGCTTGAGAGGGGAGGGGGCACCCCCAGAACAAGCATTCCCAGGGGTAACTGGCTGCGTTCATCCCTAAGCTGGGCCACTGGGACAGCCTGGCATCTAAGTTACACAACCTTGCCCACAACTTTAAAGAAAAGAGACTCTGACACCTTAATTACAAAAGAACATTTAAAAGTTGTCAGGGTTTATTATCTCGTCACACAGAGTAATGACTCAACACGTTGTGACCAGGTTAACAGTGGGCCGAGCTGCTCCCAGCTCTCGAGTGGGATATGGAACCTGCAGCGTGTGAAGGACGTTACAAATAGAAAGTGGATTTGCACCCAAGTGACCCGGAAAGCATCTCCAAGCACACCGCCGTCTCGCATTGCTCTGCTCTGACACTGTTCCTCTGGTTCTACCTCCTCGTTTCAGCCCAGAACTGAGGTCCCAGCCCACGTCCCCGTGTCAGGGGGGGACACACACCACGGCCTGGCGAGAGGAGGAGCAGCGCAATGTGGCGTGTGCCCGTGCCGGAGGGCTGCCAGCCTGGGCCCTTCCTGCAGCGCCTGAGCGTCGCTGCCTGAGCACACCAAGACCAAACAGAACCCCACGACGACACACGAGGTTTTATGGCGAGGAAGCTGAAGCTGAAAATACACGCAGGGACCAACCAGCCCAGAGCCTTGGCTCGTGGCTGCACGCAGTGGTGCCACGGTGACCACATCTGACAGGTGCTGCGGCGGTTTGAGGAACTGCTGTGGCTGCAGGAGGCACCGACCGAGGGGCCTGGTTTGGGCAGCTCTGTGCCGTCATCTTCCTCCTGCTGATGAGGAGGACGCAGACCCCCGCGGAGACTTCTGCACTGTCAGCACCTCAGGTGCTTCCACTTCTCCGAAACCTGGAACAAACAAACAATCCAGTTTGCTGCTCCAGGCCTCTCATTGTTTGTCCATTGCCAAGTTATTTATCGGGGCTGGGCTTCTGGGTGGGTTATTTTTGGTGGTTTTGGTTTTTCATTTTGTTTTTTTAACTCGGGGCTTATTGCTATTCCATTGTCAAGAGTGCGTAGCAGAAAGAGCTGAGATTTAACAGAACTAAAACTCTTTGGAACCTCAACAACAGGCTCTGTGTTGTGGCTGATGTGCTTTCACAATCCCTTTCTTTCCAGTGTTTCCAGTATGGCCTGAATTCTGTGGACGGACTCTTTCCTGGCCTGCCGAACACTGTCCTGGCCACCGGTCTCAATGGAATCCAGTTCCAACAGCAGCTTGGTCAACATCTCCTCCAGAAGCCGGTAGGATTTATCTGTCTTTTTTCCTACAAATTCATCTACCTCTTGCTCCAGCTCTTCAGCCTCCCCCATAATGTGGAGGATTCTCTGAATCTCTGGCTGGATGGCTGCAGAATTTGTTGAAGGCTGCTCACCAGGTTTAGAACCAGCCTCCCGGTTCCTAGCCGACAGCTTCCGCGGTGCAGCGTCGTACATCTGGGGCTGTGCGCTGTACTGCACCTTGGGGGGCAGGGGGGGCGGCCTGTGGGCATTCATTGTCCCGGGGTGCTGGTGATCGACGTTGTAGTAGTTGTGCTGGTTCACACTTTGCTCGGCTTTGTCATAAGCAGCATCCTGCAGTCAGAAGGGAAAAAAAAAAAATCTTGAAGTGCATTTCCCTTAAAGGCAGCGTTTAATCTCTCACCCTGTCCCGGCGGGCAGGGCTGAGCTGCGTGTGCCGGGGGACAGGCCAGGGACGTCACACATCGGGACGGCCCTGCGGGAAGTCCCGGAGAGGGACACAGACCCACAGGGCAGATCCCCGGCCAGAGGCGCGTGTCTGGGAGAACCAGCGTGAGCCCTGGGCGCGCGTTACCTGTCAGTAGGGAGATGGAACTAGATTGCAGCAGGGTCTGGAGAAAGCCACGTTTCTTTGCAGGTAGCACACGTCGGAGCTGTTCCCAGGTAACGGCGGCCCCCCCACCCCCAGATCCC